ACCTGGTGAAATTTTTTATTTTTATTTTTTATTTTTCTTTTTTTCTTTTTTCTTTTTTTTTTTTTTTGAGACGGAGTTTCGCTCTTGTTACCCAGGCTGGAGTGCAATGGCGCGATCTCCGCTCACCGCAACCTCTGCCTCCTGGGTTCAGGCAATTCTCCTGCCTCAGCCTCCCTAGTAGCTGGGACTACATGCACGTGCCACCATGCCCAGCTAATTTTTGTATTTTTAGTAGAGACGGGGTTTCACCATGTTGACCGGGATGGTCTCGATCTCTTGACCTCATGATCCACCCGCCTCGGCCTCCCAAAGTGCTGGGATTACAGGCGTGAGCCACGGCGCCCGGCCATTTATTTTTATTTTTTTATTTTATTTATTTTTTTTTTGAGACGGAGTTTTGCTCTTGTTACCCAGGCTGGAGTGCAATGGCGCGATCTCGGCTCACCGCAACCTCCGCCTCCTGGGTTCAGGCAATTCTCCTGCCCCAGCCTCCTGAGTAGCTGGGATTACAGGCACGCGCCACCATGCCCAGCTAATTTTTTGTATTTTTAGTAGAGACGGGGTTTCACCATGTTGACCAGGATGGTCTCAATCTCTTGACCTCGTGGTCCACCCGCCTCGGCCTCCCAAAGTGCTGGGATTACAGGCTTGAGCCACCGCGCCCGGCCCAATTTTTTATTTTTTAGAAACAGGTTCTTGCTATGTTATCCAGGTTGGGCTCAAACTCCTAGGTTCAAGCACCTCAGCCTCCTGAGTAGCTACAGGCATGTCGCACTATGCCTGGCTTGAGGTTTTTCAAAAGTATGATTAACAATTGCACCAATAGTCCAGGGGCGGTGGCTCATGTCTGTAATCCTAGCACTTTGGGAGGCCGAAGCGGATGGGGTCCCGCTGGCGGGGCGATGCTGAGGCCGTGGCTCAGGTCTTTGCTTCTGGGCAGAATTTGGGGGCTCCCGTGGCTCAGGTCTTTGCTTCTGGGCAGAATTTAGGGACCCCCTGGAGCCGACGGAGTGAGTGAGAGCTACCATTCCTGCTGTTGGCAGGTCTCAGCCTGTCCCATCCCAGAGCTCTCGAATGTTGGGCGTATCCCAAGGAGTGGCCTGAAATCCCCCATCCAGAGCCCCCTCCACCATTGGACGCACCACGGTTCCAGGAGAAGATCCTTATTCCTTGGCTCTGGGACCCTGAGTGGCCAGCCTCAAGAGACAGTCGGTCTCTTCCCAGGTTCAGGACGTTGAAAGGAGGCTCCACGATCGCCCTGCAGGCTATAGCCCCTGTGAGCCATTCAGGGCCTGCCTCCGCCCCATGGCCCTCAGCCCGGGGGTGGGCTTTCCCCACAGATGTTCCTTATCACAGCATCACTCAAATTTGGGAGCCTGAAGTTCCCACAGAGGCGGGGGCGGAAGAGCACAAGGAGGAACAGAGGGTCGCCTTCCCCAGATGCCTTCCCTTGGGAGGCTCTATGAAACTAAGAACACGGGGAAATTGCCGGGCGCGGTGGCTCACGCCTGTAATCCTAGCACTTTGGGAGGCTGAGGCGGGCAGATCACCTGAGGTCAGGAATTCAAGATCAGCCTGACTAATATGATGAAACCCTGTCTTTTTAAAAAAAAAACAACAAGCCGGGCGCGGTGGCTCAAGCCTGTAATCCCAGCACTTTGGGAGGCTGAGGCGGGTGGATTACGAGGTCAGGAGATCGAGACCATCCTGGTCAACACGGTGAAACCCCGTCTCTACTTAAAATACAAAAAATTAGCTGGGCATGGTGGCGTGTGCCTGTAATCTCAGCTACTCCGGAGGTTGAGGCAGGAGAATTGCCTGAACCCAGGAGGCGGAGGTTGCGGTGAGCCGAGATCGTGCCATTGCACTCCAGCCTGGGTAACAAGAGCGAAACTCCGTCTCAAAAAAACAAAAACGAACAAACAAAACCAACAACAACAACAACACAGGGGGAAACTGAGGCCCACAAGTGGTGCCATTTGGCCACTCAGAGTGGCTGCAGTAGAGCCATGCATAGACACAGGCCACTCACTCCAGTGCACCCAACACCCTCCCAGCCGTCCTGAAAAATGTCTGGCAAGACTCATGACCTTAGGTCTGGCGTGGTGGCTCACGTGTATAATCCCAGCACTTTAGGAGACCAAGTCGGAAGGATCTCTTGAGCTCTGGAGTTCAAGACCATCCTGGGCAACATAGCTAGACCCTGTCTCTACAAAGCTTAAAAAGAGAGAGAGAAAAAAAAAAGACAAGGCACACTCTCTTCCAGGTTCTTTGAAGGAGTGTCTTCCCCCGTCCTCTGTTCATAGGACTACTCTATAGAATACCCTGGTCAGCGACCAAGAGGTAAAGGGTGGTTCTTTTTTATTTTATTTTATTTTATTTATTTTTTTGAGACAGTCTTGCTGTGTTGCCAGACTGGAGTACAGTGGTGAAATCTCAGCTCACTGCAACCTCCACCTCCTGGGTTCAAGCAATTCTTCCGCCTCAGACTCCCAAGTAGCTGAGACCACAGGCACATGCCACCAAGCCCGGCTAATTTTTGTATTTTCAGTAGAGACGGACCTCCAGCCCTCACCCATTCGTCCACCCGTATACTAACAGTCCCAGGCCACATTTACTGAACTCATGCTCTGCTTCATTGGAACACATCACTCCTCTTCTTAACTTTGATTGCCTCCCATCTTCTTTTGATTTTATTTTATTTATTTTTATTTTTTTTGAGCAGAGTCTTGCTCTGTCATGCAGGCTGGAGTGCAGTGGTGCAATCTCGGTTCACTGCAACCTTTGCCTCCCTGGTTCAAGGTATTCTCTTGCCTCAGCCTCCTGAGTAGCTGGGACCACAGGCGTCTACCACCATGCCCAGCTAATTTTTTTGTATTTTTAGTGGAGATGGGGTTGCACCAAGTTGGTCAGGATGATCTTGAACTCCTGATCTGCCTGCCTCAGCCTCCCAAAATGCTGGGATTACAGGTGTGAGCCACCACTCCTGGCCCTATTTGATTGATTGATTGATTGATTGATTGAGACAGGGTCTCGCTTTGTTGCCCAGGCTAGAGTGCAGTGGAGTGGTGTGATCTCAGCTCACTGCAACCTCCACCTCCCACCCCAGCCTACTGAGTAGCTGGGACTACAGGGGTGTGCCACCATGCCAGGTTAATCACCTTCTTTAGAATAAAATCCAAGTTTCTCACCATGGCCTATAGGTCCTTTTTGGCGGTCCAGCCCACCTCTCCCTCCATCCAGCCTCCCCTTTAACCATGACACGCTGGCCGAGATGGCCTCTCCTCTGTTGTTCTTTTGTTATTTTGAGATGGAATTTTTGCTCTTGTTGCCCAGGCTGGAGTGCAATGGTGTGTCTTGGCCGAGGCTTGCTTCTCTATTAACTGACAGTCTTTTTTTTTTTTTTTTTTTTTTTTTTTTGAGACAGAGTTTCGCTCTTGTTACCCAGGCTGGAGTGCAATGGCACGATCTCGGCTCACCGCAACCTCCGCCTCCTGGGTTCAGGCAATTCTCCTGCCTCAGCCTCCCGAGTAGCTGGGATTACAGGCACGTGCCACCATGCCCAGCTAATTTTTTGTATTTTTAGTAGAGACGGGGTTTCACTATGTTGACCGGGATGGTCTCGATCTCTCGACCTCGTGATCCACCCGCCTCGGCCTCCCAAAGTGCTGGGATTACAGGCTTGAGCCACCGCGCCCGGCAGTCTTTTTTTTTTTTGAGACGGAGTTTCACTCTTGTTACCCAGGCTGGAGTGCAATGGCGCGATCTCGGCTCACCGCAACCTCCGCCTCCTGGGTTCAGGCAATTCTCCTGCCTCAGCCTCCTGATTAGCTGGGATTACAGGCACGCGCCACCATGCCCAGCTAATTTTTTGTATTTTTAGTAGAGACGGGGTTTCACCATGTTGACCAGGATGGTCTCGATCTCTTGACCTTGTGATCCACCCGCCTCGGCCTCCCAAAGTGCTGGGATTACAGGCATGAGCCACCGCGCCCAGTTTAACTGACAGTCTTTACCATAGCTTGTGAAGTAGTAACTATCATTAGCTTCCTTTTACAGGAAAGATAACAGGAGCTCAGAGAGGTTAGGCCATTTGTTGAAAGTCACATACTAAGATTAAAACCCCAGAGAGAGGCTTTTCACCACCTGCCACTGGTTGTAGGGGGCAAGTAGAGGTAGGCCAGCTCCCAAGTGCTTGAAATACTAATAGATGCTTCTTCTTTTTCTTCTTTTTTTTTTTTTTTTTTTTTGAGATAGAGTCTCGCTGTTGCCCAGGCTGGAGTGCAGTGGCTCCGGCTTGGCTCACTGCAATCTCTGCCTCCCAGGTTCAAGCGATTCTCCTGTCTCAGCCTCCCGAGTAGCTGGGATTACAGGCACCTGCCACCATGACTGGCTAATTTTTTGTATTTTTAGTAGAGATAGGGTTTCACCATGTTGGTCAGGGTGATCTCAAACTCCTGACCTCCTGATCTGCCCACCTCAGCCTCCCAAATTGCTGGGATTACAGGCATAAGCCACCGCACCCTGCCAACTTTTGTATTTATAGTAGAGATGGAGTTTCACCATTCTGGCCAGGCTGGTCTCAAACTCTTGACCTCGGGTGATCCGCCCGCCTCTGCCTTCCAAAGCGCTGGGTGGTGTAAGCCATCGCTACCTGCCTAATAGATGCTTCTGGAGTAGGAGGACTTGCGCCTGGCTGGAAGGTTGGCAAGATTTGAGTCTGCAAAGGCCTGAAGAGAACATCCCAGGTGGGAGAAACAGCAAGGAGGGGTGGGTGGAGGAGGCAGGGACACCCTGCTCATGCGACTACTGTCTGCAGAGGGTCTCCAGAGGCAGGACCCCCCAGGGGTAGGGACGCTGATTCAGGAGTCGCTCTGTAGTCCTTCCCACAACGCTGTGGGCCGGGGTGCCCCCAGGGACGAGGGCTGGGCGCTCCCACGCTCAGCCGAAGCAGGACGTTCCCACGCGGGGGCGGCCCTGGGAAAGGCTGTGGGGCGGGCTGGGGGCGGGAGCCCGCGCTCAGGTCCCTCCGGAGTGGAGCGGGTTCTCCGTTGCTCGCTGGGCAGACCCAGGTCGCATTCCTGCTGCGGAGCCGGCGAGGTGAGTGAGTTGGGGGAGGACCCCGTTACCCAAGCGTGCGCGGGTCGGGGTCTCGGCTGGGTCTCCTGCCCTCGCCGCCGGGTCATGCCCCGAGTGGTCCCTGTCATAGGGGGGCTTCTTGCAGGTCAGAGTTGAGGACTCCTTGGGAGTTATCCTCTGCAATGAGTGCCATCTCTTTCCCCAAATACAGATTACACCCTCCCTCTCTCGATATGTGGGGCTCTCCCACCCACTCATTGTAATCACTGGCCGGAGACCCTCTTTCCCAGAAGTGCGGGCTGCCCCCTCCCACTTATCACCTGTGGTGCACCCCCTCCCCCACTCTATTTATTGAGTGCCCCTCTCTCTCCCTAGATGTGGGACCCCCTTTTTCTCCCCAGGTGTGCGTCTCCCTCCCTCTGACCCAGTTAAGTCCCCCGTTCTCCAAAGCCTCTCCCCACCCCCATGGATGCCAAACCTTGAGTCTTCCCGGGGGGGGGCGGTGGGGGACTGAGCTTAGCCAGACGGGCTCAGCCCAGTGCCCCAACCCCTTCACCAGATCCAGCAGAGCAGGCTCTGTGTGCACGTAGGCACCCAATTAGGGGGGAAGGGGTGGGGCCAATGGTCTATCTGTCCTGCCAGTGCAGGAGCCTCTGCAGATGGCCCTTCGGGGAAGAGAGCCTCACGACCTGCTCCCTCTCCACCTGGACCCTCACCCAGTTTCGTCTGGGAAGCAAATAACTGAGGGGGGTTCTCCAGTCTGGCCAGACTGAGCTGGGGCTGGCACCAGAACCCAAGCCCTCAGCCTCACATGCCTGAGACCCTGCCCCAAGAGTTTGGCCTCCTCCCACTTCTCAGATGGTGAATTGAGGTCCCAAGAAGGGACTCCAAAGGTCTAGGACCCCCATTGCCTCCCCCATCCCCAGGGATATGAGACAAAATGAGAAGGGTAAAGGGCATGAGGGTAACCTTGAAACCCTGGGACCCCTGCCACTACCATACCAGTGGAAAGGGTTTCTCCATCAGGCCCTGCGGTGTGGGGGCCGAGGGTGATGTGGGGGCAGAATTCCTCTATACCTCCACGCCCCCAGATGCTTTCCAGAGCTGCCTGGAACTTGATGCTGAGGAAAGGTGAACGTGGAAGACGAGAGATGCACAGCCCAGAAGCCCCCGGTGAGACCTGGACTCCTGCCTCCCAGCCTAACTCCAGAGCTAGGGGCAAGGCTCCCCTCTGCAGGCTGCCCTCTTTGCCCTTCCATGCCACCCTGGGCCTGTTCCTACCACACTTCCCATGATCCCATTCCTTGGTCCAAGGCCAAGTTACTCCAGGAAATGGAGCCCACGGGTAAGCCAACAGTGCCCATCTCCATGCCAAGCTTCCGTAGGAGCCAGCCCCCGGCCTCAGGCCTTGTGCCCTGGGGTGGAGGATGCCGGCCCTGGCTCCTCCTACGCAGACCCTAGCTTCAATGCTAGTCAGAAGAAAGAGACCTAAAGCAGTAGAGACTTCAGCCAGATAGCAGAAGGGCCTTGCTGACTGGTGGAGAATAACAAAGATAATTTTGTTATTAAGCCCTTACTAGTACCCCAAGCTATGGTAAACATTTTATGTGGATTAGCTTTTAGACTTCACAACAACCATGTGAGGTGGAGGCGGTGTTATCTCTCTTTTGCAGATGAAGAAATTCAGGCCCAAAGATCTAAATATTAGAAGAGGCAGGATTCCTTGCCCCAGGCAGCTCCAACACTCTCCCATTAAGGGGGTACCAGTGCCCTCCTTGTGGGCACTTCTGCTGTGAAGAGAATCTTTGTTGAGACCCTGCCTAATGTCCGGCCATATTCTGGGCACCCCGGATGCCCATAGGAAGCGCTTGAGGGCTTAGCCATCATGGTGAGCTTCCAGGAGTGGAGGCCAGTAGTAAAACCAACCTCCATTGAACAGAATGATTTACTGAGCATCTGCTGTGTGCCAGGCACTGAGCAAAGCCATTTTTTTTTTTTTTTTTTTTTTTGAGACAGAGTCTCACTCGATCGTCCAGGCTGGAGTGTGCAGGCGCAATCTCGGCTCACTGCCACCTGGCCTCCCAGGTTCAAGTGATTCTTCTGCCTCAGCCTCTCAAGCAGCTGGGACTATAGGAGCATGCCACCATGCCCGGCTAATTTTTTTGTATTTTTTTAGTAGAGACAGGGTTTCACCATGTTAGCCAGGATGGTCTCTATCTCCTGACCTCGTGATCTGCCAGCCTGGGCCTCCCAAAGTGCTGAGATTACAGGTGTGAGCCACCGTATCCAGCCTCAGGAAACCTTTTAAGTGTTTTTGTTTGTTTGTTTGTTTGTTTGTTTTTTGAGACAGAGTTTCACTCTGTTGCCCAGGCTGGAGTGCAGTGGCACGATCTCAGCTCACTGCAACCTCTGCCTCCTGGGTTCAAGTGATTCCCCTGCCTTAGCCTCTCGAGTAGCTGGGACTATAGGCATGGTGCACCACCATGCCCAGCTAATTTTTGTATTTTTTAGTAGAAACGGGGTTTCATCATATTGGACCGGCTGGTCTCAGACTCCTGACCTTGTGATCCGCCCACTTTGGCCTCCCAAAGTGCTGGAATTACAAGCCTGAGCCACTGCGCCCAGCTCCTTCTCCTTTTTTTTTTTTTTTTTTTTTTTTTGAGACAGAGTCTCACTCTATTGCCCAGGCTGGAGGGCAGTGGTGCCATCACAGCTCACTGCAGACTCGACTAGTCAGGTTCAGGCAAGCCTTCCACCTCAGCCACCTCAGTAGCTGGAACTGTGCCACCACGCCCAGCTTATTTTTAAAAACTTTGTAGATATAGGGTCTCCCCATGTTGCCCAGGCTGGTCTTGAACTCCTGGGCCCAAGGGAGCTGCCTACCTCAGCCTCCCAAAGGGCTGGGATTACGGGCGTGAGCCACCATGCCCAGCCTGGCCTGAGTGTATTCTCTTGAAGCTTCCCACATGAATGAGTTAGGTTCTCTTGTTATCCCCACTTTCCCGACGAGGATATTGAAGTACAGCAAGGTAAAGGGGCTTGTTGGATCTGGGAGAAAGTGGAACTGAAGTTCAAAACCAGCTGACTCCAAAGCTGGGTCCTTGGCCATTCATTAAACGGATGTGCAGAATGCTTTACAGTTTGCTGGGCAATTTCACATCGGGCATCTCAGGTTTCTGCCACTGAATCTTTACCCAACCATTGCCTCTGCCTGACGTGACCTCCTCACCTCAGATATTCCCAAAGAGCGTGGAATTTGAAACCAGAGGGACTGAATTGGAACCCTGGCCCTCCTTTTTTTTTTTTTTTTTTGAGACAGAGTCTTGCTTTGTCGCCCAGGCTGGAGTGCAGTGGCATGATTCCAGCTCACTGCAACCTCTGCCTCCTGGGTTCAAGTGATTCTCCTGCCTCAGCCTCCCAAGTAGCTGGGACTACAGGCACACACCACCATGCCCAGCTAATTTTTTTTTTTTAAGGCGGAATCTTGTTCTTGTCGCCCAGGCTGCCATACGATGGCATGATTTTAGCTCACTGCAGCCTCTGCCTCCTGGGTTCAAGTGATTCTTCCGCCTCAGCCTCCCAAGTAGCTGGGATTACAGGCACCCACCACCACGCCCAACTAATTTTTGTATTTTTAGTAGACACGGGGTTTCACCATGTTGACCAGGCTGATCTCTAACTCGTGACCTCAGGTGATCCACCAGTCTTGGCCTCCCAAAGTGCTGGGATTACAGGCATAAGCCACCACTCCTGGCTTTATTTTGTTTTTGTTTGTGAGATGGAGTTTCACTGTTGGTACCCAGGCTGGAGTCCAGTGGCTCTATCTCAGCTCACTGCAACCTCTGCCTCCCGGGTTCAAGCAGTTCTCCTGCTTCAGCCTCCCAAGTAGCTGGGATTAAAGACATGCACCATCAACCCCAGCTAATTTTTTTGAATTTTTAGTAGAGACAGGGTTTCACCATGTTGGCCAAGCTGGTCTCAAACTCCTGACCCCAGGCGAGCCACCCACCTCAGTTTCCCAAAGTGCTGGGATTACAGGAGTAAGCCACTGTGCCGGCCTGCTCATTCTTGCTCTGTGATTTTCAGCAAGTCACTTAACTTCTCTGTTTCTTTCTTTCTTTCTTTCTTTCTTTTTTTGAGACGGAGTTTCACTCTTGTTACCCAGGCTGGAGTGCAATGGCGCAATCTCGGCTCACTGCAACCTCCGCCTCCTGGGCTCAGGCAATTCTCCTGCCTCAGCCTCCTAAGTAGCTGGGATTACAGGCACGCGCCACCACGCCCAGCTAGTTTTTTGTATTTTTAGTAGAGACGGGGTTTCACCATGTTGACCAAGATGGTCTCGATCTCTCGACCTCGTGATCCACCCGCCTCGGCCTCCCAAAGTGCTGGGATTACAGGCTTGAGCCACCGCGCCCGGCCTTTTTTTTTTTTTTTTGAGATGGAATCTCACTCTGTCCCCAGGCTGGAGTGCAATAGCATCATTTTGGCTCCCTGCAGCCTCTGCCTCCTGGGTTCAAGCAATTCTCCTGCCTCTACCTCCTGAGGAGCTGAGATTATAGGCAAATTTTTGTATTTTTAGTAGAGACAGGGTCTCACCATGTTGGCCAGGCTGGGCTACTCAGTTTCTTCATCTGTAAAATGGAGATGAAAATATCACCTGGCTCTGAGTGACAGGGAGTAAATGAGTCCACTCACCTGAAGGCTTTAGAATGGCTCCTGGCACAAGTAGGTGCTCAATAAATGCCTTCTTTATTAATATGGTTAGAGATAGGGTGTCCCAGGGGCAGCCTGGACTCAGCTCCCTTCTTTGTGTCTGCAGCCCGTGGTGAGGGGAAGATGCCCCCCTATGCCAACTGGTATGCCCAGCGCTCCTACCCCATGCCAGAAGAGCCCTTCTGCACAGAGCTCAATGCCGAGCAGCAGGCCCTGAAGGAGAAGGAGAAGGGAAGCTGGACCCAGCTGAGCCATGCCGAAAAGGTGGCCCGTAGGTGTCAGGGTGGGGCTGGCTGTAGAGTGGGCTGGGGGCTGACTTTGGAAATTAGGGCCTGTCAGGGATCAGAGGGCAGAGAGAGGCCCCAGGACACCCAGAAACCTCCAAACACCTGAGGGATGAAGGTCATGGATTTGTCCATTTCTCTTTTTTTGAAACGGAGTCTTGCTCTGTCACCAAGTTGGAGTGGAGTGCCGCTATCTCAGCTCACTGCAACCTCTGTCGCCTGGATTCAAGAGATTCTCCATCTCAGCCTCCTGAGTAGCTGTGACTACAGGTGTGCGCCACCACCCACAGCTAATTTTTTTTTTTTTTTTTTTTTTTTTTTTGAGATGGAGTTTCGTTCTTGTTACCCAGGCTGGAGTGCAATGGCGCGATCTCGGCTCACCGCAACCTCCGCCTCCTGGGTTCAGGCAATTCTCCTGCCTCAGCCTCCTGAGTAGCTGGGATTACAGGCACGCACCACCATGCCCAGCTAATTTTTTGTATTTTTAGTAGAGACGGGGTTTCAACCATGTTGACCAGGATGGTCTCGATCTCTTGACCTCGTGATCCACCCGCCTCTGCCTCCCAAAGTGCTGGGATTACAGGCTTGAGCCACCGCGCCCGGCCACCCACAGCTAATTTTTTGTATTTTAGCAGAGACAGGGTTTCACCATGTTGGCCAGGATGGTCTCAATCTCCTGACCTCGTGATCCACCCGCCTCGGCCTCCCAAGGTACTGGGATTACAGGCGTGAGCCACCGCGGCCAGCCCTTGTTCATTTCTTTATTCACTCACCTGTTTGTGCACAGCCTGATGCTAGGCATTGCTGGGGACACGACGTGAATCACCTGGATCATTCCTACCCCCATGGTGCTCTCAGTCCCGTGGGGAAAACCAACACAGACCCAATAATTGTAATACAGAATATGTGGCTAGGGCGAGATGTGTTCAAGGACTGTGAGATGAAATCCTGGTGGGCCTCTCGGAGCAGGGCACATTCCAGCTGGCCTTGAAGGGTGAAGAGGAGGGCACTGCCAGGGAGTGGGAACTGCATGGGGAATGGTGTCAGAGCAGCAGACTGTGGAGGGTCCTGGCATTGAGTGGTGTGGGGGAGATGGGACAGAAAGGCAGATAAGATGGTTGGGGAGGAGCCCTCTGACCCTGAGGCTGGAGGGATGTGTGGTCCTTGTCATGACCACCAGAGCACCCCTGGGCTGACCCTTTGATATTTGGAGCACCTGATTCTCATTCCATGAATGGGAATACTCAGCCTGATGTCCAGCATTTCAGGGAATTCCTAGTGGGGAAAGGCTCATGCTTCTCACAGTCATTTATTCAGTCAGCATCTTACTGAGCACCTACTACAATACCACGCACTGGGAATGCAGCTGTGAGCCAGCCAGGCTCCGTTCCTGCCTGTGAGCTTGCGTCTCCAGCCCTCTCTCAGCTCCTCTCTCTCTCTGTCACACACACACACACACACACACACACGCACACACACACTATCTTGGTCTTCTCTTCATCCATTCCAGAAATTGACACTGTTTATCTGAGCATGGTGGCACACGCCTGTGGTCCCAGCTGTTTGGGAGGCTGAGGCAGGAGGGTTGCTTGAGCCCAGGGGAGCTGAGGCTGCAGTGAGCTGTGATTGTGCTACTGCATTGCACTCCAGCCTGGGTAACAGAGAAAGAGCCTGTCTCAAAAAAAAAAAAAAAAAAAAAAAAAAAGGAAATAAAATAGAAAGAAAAGAAAGAGAGAGAAAAAAGGGAAGGAAGGAAGTTAGGGAGGGAGGGAGGGAGGGAGGAAGACATTCCCCAGGCAAGATGGTGATACACACCATCCCTAGTACGTACTGTACACTTACGTGAGCAGGCGCCGCTGTGGAGGTAGGTGCTCTCATTAGCTCACATTTGAGAGACCGAGGCTCACTGAGGCACAGTCACTTGCAATGGTCGCATGGCTAGAGAGTGGTGGAGGCAAGATTTGAAACCACACAGGCACTAGGGTTTCACCCTTAGCTGCTGTACCACGTTAGGTAAACTGAAGGTTTGGTGGGATGCTTGGTGAGTTGCAGTGTAGTCTCACAGCTGAGTTAACAAGTTCTTTTTCTGGGTTTTTTTTTTTTTTTTGAGACAAGGTCTCTGTCACCCATGCTGGAGTACAGTGGCCCCATGTCAACTCACTGCAACCTCTGCCTCCTGGACTCAAGCAATCCTCTCATTTTGGTCTCCCTAGTAGCTGGGACTATAGGTGGGCGCTACCACACCTGGCTAATGTTTTTTTTTTTTTTTTTTAGACAGAGTTTTGCTCTTGCTGTCCAGGCTGGAATGCAATGGCACAATCTTGACTCACTGCAACCTCCACCTCCTGGGCTCAAGTGATTCTCCTGCCTCAGCCTCCCAAGCAGCTGGGATTACAGGTGTGCACCACCACACCTGGCTAATTTTATATATTTTTTAGTAGAGACGGGGTTTCACCATGTTGGTCAAGCTGGTCCCGAACTCCTGACCTCAAGTGATCCACCTGCCTCGGCCTCCCAAAGTGCTGGGATGACAGGCATGAGCCACCGCACCCAGACGTTTTTGTATTTTTTGTAGAGACAGGGTTTCACCATATTGGCCTGACTGATCTCGACCTCCTGACCTCGTGATCTGCCTGTCTCAGCCTCCCAAAGTTTTGGGATTACAGGTGTGAGCCACCACGCCTGACTATTTAGCTGGGCTAAATCACTTGAACCCAGGAAGTGGAGGGTGGAGTGACCGAGATCATGCAACTGCACTCTAGCTTGGGGGACAGAGCCAGACTCCGTCTCAAAAAATAATAATAATAGTAATTTTTTCAAAAGGCCTTGTGTGGTGGTTCATGCCTGTTATTCCAGCACTTTGGGAGGCTGAGGCAGGCAGATCGATTGGGCCCAGGAATTCAAGATCAGCCTGGGCAATATGGTGAAACCTCATCCCTACACAAAATACAAAAATAAGCTAGGTGTGGTGATGTGCACCTGTGTTCCCAGCTACTAATTGGGCTGAGGTGGGAGGATCGCCTGAGCCTGAGATGTCAAGGCTGTGGTGAGCTACGATTGTGCCATTGCAGTCTAGCCTGAGTGACAGAGTGAGGCCCTGTCTCAAAAAAGAAATTTTTTTTTTTTTTTTTTTGAGATGGAGTTTCGCTCTTGTTACCCAGGCTGGAGTGCAATGGCGCGATCTCGGCTCACCGCAATCTCCACATCCTGGGCTCAGGCAATTCTCCTGCCTCAGCCTCCTGAGTAGCTGGGATTACAGGCACGCACCACCATGCCCAGCTAATTTTTTGTATTTTTTTAGTAGAGACGGGGTTTCACCATGTTGACCAGGATGGTCTCGATCTCTTGACCTTGTGATCCACCCGCCTCGGCCTCCCAAAGTGCTGGGATTACAGGCTTGAGCCACCGCGCCCGGCTCAAAAAAGAAATTTTAAAAAAATGTTTTAAAGACATGCTCCTCTCACCTCTGTCAACTGAGTTCCAAGGGTTTCAGAAGCTCTTGTGTAGGAACTGGGGGCAGAGACAAAAATGTGTGTTTCTTTTTTTTTTTTTTTTTTTTTTTTTTTTTGAGATGGAGTCTCCCTTCTGTTGCCCAGTATGGAGTGCAGTGGTGCAATCTTGGCTGGCTGCAACCTCCGCCTCCCTGGTTCAAGTGATCTCCTACCTCAGCCTCCCGAGTAGCTGGGGCTACGGGCACCTGACATTATGCCCAGCTAATTTTTGTACCAAATGTGTATTTCTTGGTGTGTCATCTTTAGTTCTGCCTACACTCCTCTAAGAAAACGCCTCTAAACTCCATCCCCAATTCTCTGCCTCCCTTCCATTAGCAACTCCCTCAGCCTGGAAAGCCTGTCACCAGGAAGAAGTCTGATGTCTTTGAGGGCAGTGAGCCTGCCTGATTTTTAGGATTCTCCAGGGGCGCTCTCATTCACTCATTCATCCTGGGAATAACCATTAAAGGCCTACTTTGAGCCAAGCACTGTTCCGGGTGTTGGGAATATAACAGTGAACTTACATCATATCAACAATGTAACAGTGCACTGAAGCCTAGAAAAGATAAGCAGTAAATAAGAAAACAAAGGAATACAAGTATTAGTATGAAGGAAGAAAAAGTCAGGAACAGTTCTGATTAAAGTTTGAGTCAGGCTGGGCGTGGTGGCTCACGCCTGTAATCCCAGCACTTTGAGAGGCCAAGGTGGGTGGATCATGAGGTCAGGAGATCGAGACCATCCTGGTCATGGTAAAACTCCGTCTCTAACAAAAAATAAAAAATTTCAAAAAAATTGAATCAAATAAAAGCACAATCTTGCCACTTCCTTGCCTCAGATTCACTCTCCTCAATACTATTTCTTTTGTTTGTTTGAGATGGAGTCTTGCTCTGTTACCCAGGCTGGAGTGCAGTGGTGTGATCCTGGCTCACTGCAACCTCCACCTCATGGATTCAAGTGACTCTCCTGCCTCAGCCTCCCGAGTAGCTGGGATTACAGGTGCCCACCACCGCACTTGGCTAATCTTTGTGTTTTTCTTTTTTTTTTTTTTTTTTCTTTTTTTTTTTTGAGACGGAGTTTCACTCTTGTTACCCAGGCTGGAGTGCAATGGCGCGATCTCGGCTCACCGCAACGTCCGCCTCCTGGGCTCAGGCAATTCTCCTGCCTCAGCCTCCTAAGTAGCTGGGATTACAGGCACGCGCCACCACGCCCAGCTAGTTTTTTGTATTTTTAGTAGAGACGGGGTTTCGCCATGTTGACCAGGATGGTCTCGATCTCTCGACCTCGTGATCCACCCGCCTCGGCCTCCCAAAGTGCTGGGATTACAGGCTTGAGCCACCGCGCCCGGCCTAATCTTTGTGTTTTTTAGTAGAGATGGGGTTTCACCACCTTGGCCAGGCTGGTCTCCAACTCCAGACGTTGTGATTCGCCCGCCTCAGCCTCCCCAAGTGCTGGGATTATAGGCATGAGCCACTGCGCCATACATAAAAGAATGTACCAAATCTTTTATTTTATTTATTTATTTACAAACAGGGTCTCGGCTGGGTGTGGTGGCTCACGCCTGTAATCCCAGCACTTTGGGAGACTGAGGCAGGCAGATCACTTAAAGTTAGGAGTTTGAGACCAGCCTGGCCAACATGGTGAAACCCGTTCTCTACTGAAAATACAAAAAATTAGCTGGCTGTGGTGGCAGGTGCCTGTAATCCCGGCTACTTGGGAGGCTGAGGAAGGAGAATTGCTTGAATCCAGGAGGCAGAGGCTGCAGCAAGCCGAGATCACACACTCCAACCTCAGCAGCAGAGTGAGACTCGGTCTCAAAAAAAAAAAAAAAGAAACAGTCTCACCCTCTGCCCCAGCTATGAGAGCACTGTAGCCTCAAACTCCTAGGTCAAGCAATCCTCCTGCCTCAGCCTCTTGAGTGGCTGGGAGCAAGGCATGTGCCACTGTACCTGGCTAATATTTTAACTTTTTGTAGAGACAGGGTCTCGCTATGTTGCCCAGGATGGTCTTGAACTCCCACACTCAAGCAATCCACCTGCCTTGGTCTCCCAAAGTTCTGGGATTACAGGCGTGAGCCACCACACTCAGCCCCCTCCCTAATTCTGTTAGAATGAAATCCAAATTCTTCTCCGCTGATTCTGACAAGGTCCTGTGTGAATTGGTTCTGGCTAGCCTCTCATTTGCTAAATTCTCGCTCTTTTTTTTTTGAGACAGAGTCTCACTCTGTCGTTCAGGCTGTAGTGCAATGGCAGCTCTCAGCTCACCACAACCTCTGCCTCCCAGGTTTAAGCGATTCACCTCAGCCGCCAAAGTAGCTGGGATTACAGGTGTGTGCCGTCACACCCAGCTAATTTTTGTATTATTATTATTATTATTATTATTATTATTATTTTGAGACGGAGTTTCACTCTTCTTACCCAGGCTGGAGTGCAATGGCACGATCTCGGCTCACCGCAACCTCCGCCTCCTGGGTTCAGGCAATTCTCCTGCCTCAGCCTCCTGAGTAGCTGGGATTACAGGCACGCGCCACCACGCCCAGCTAGTTTTTTGTATTTTTAGTAGAGATGGGGTTTCACCATGTTGACCAGGATGGTCTCGATCTCTCGACCTCGTGATCCACCCACCTCAGCCTCCCAAAGTGCTGGGATTACAGGCTTGAGCAACCGTGCCCGGCTATTTTTGTATTTTTAAGTAGCGATGGGGTTTCACCATGTTAGGCTGGTCTGGAACCCCTGACCTTGTGATCCACCCACCTTGGCCTCCCAAAGTGCTTGGATTACAGGCGTGAGCCACCATGCCTAGCTAAATTCTGTCTTTTTTGCTCATTTCACTCCAGCCACAGTGGTCCTCACTTCAGCCTTTCCCTACCCACTTCCTGCTTCAGGGTCTTCGCACTTCCTTCCAGTTTTCACCAGCTTTCTCCCACTGATTTTTCAAGCCTCTGCTCCAATGTCATCTCCTCTGAGACACCTTCCCCGGCCACCCAACAGTTTGCCTGAAGCATTTCCCATCGTCTCCCCCTCTAAGCTCCACAAGGGCAGGGTTTTTCATCTGGCTCATTCACTGCTGTCACCTGTTCCTGACCATGCTGTACATACAGTACATGCTCAGTAAAAATCTGCTGAATGAACAGCATCTGCTCAGGGAGCGGGAGACAGGGATCACTTAGAGTGGACGCACCTGAGGCCCTTCCCCATACCCACCTGCCTCCAGTGTACCGGCTCCAGTACCATCAGACCTTTGCGGAGATTAACCGTCGCTCCAATGAATGGAAGACAGTGATGGGCTGTGTCTTCTTCTTCTGTGGATTCGCAGCTCTGCTGATTTGGTGGCAGCGGGTCTACGGTGAGTGGCGACACCCCATCTGGCTGCAGTCCTGGGCTGTGCCCTTGTGGTCATGGCCACCAGTCAGCTTCTTAAAGAAACCACGCTGGCACTCATCTAATAGTTGAAAATTTCCTGAAGAGGTGTAGGGTGAAGGGCAGAGCATGGCTGTCTAGGTTCGAATATAGGAATGCTACCTCTCTAGGCCTCAGTTTCCTCATCTGTAAGATGGGAATAGTAATGGTTCATCTCAGGGTACTTAAGAGGACTTAATGAGAGAGGGCTGTAGGTCAGTGTTTGGCTTATAGTCATGAATGGTGTTGTTAGATTGTTGTGTATGAACTATGTGTTTTTCAGTGTGTGTATATATATATATATATATATATATATATATATATATATATATTATATACTGAACCTCTGTCTCCCAGGTTCAAGTGATTCCCCTACCTTAGCCTCCTGAGTAGCTGACACTACAGGAGTGCGCCACCATACCTGGCTAATTTTTGTATTTTCAGTAGGGATGAGGTTTCACCATGCTGGTCTTGAACTCCTGGCCTCAAGTGATCTGCCCGCTTTGGACTCCCAAAGAATAAGATTACAGACATGAGCCACCATGCCTGGCCTGTTTTTCAGTATATTGTTTCAGCTGCTGTAACAAAGAGTCCCCAACTTACAAGAGCTTAAACGAGATAGTGGTTTATTGCTTTCTCACAACAAAAGGCAGAGATGCAATCCAGACACATGTGAGGACTCCTCAATGCAGGCTTCTTCTGTTTTGTTGCTCTGCATCTTTGACACCCAAGATGGCTGCTCCAGCTCCTGCCATCAAGCCTACATTCCAGCCAAAAGAGGGAAAGGGAAAATATGCTCCTCTTTGAGGCCTAGAAGTTGCGCATACCACTTCTCCTCACATGCTATAGGCTGAGAAATGATCACGTAACCATATCTGGCTACAAGGGAAGCTGGGAAATGTAGTCATTAGCTGGGTAGTCACATGTACAGCGAAACTTTTATTACCTCTGAAGAGTGGTTCTCAAAGTGTTCTCCGTGTACCAATAAGCACCACCTAGGAACTTGCTAGAAATGCACATTCTCACCCCAACTAGTCAGACACTCTGGGGGTAGACGCCAACAATTTTTATTTTAACTGCCCATCCCTCTGGTGGACCAGTGGAAGGCTCAGCACCTCCTGTGCATCCCAGAAGGGATATATGTATATATATTTTTGAGACGGAGTCTTGCTCTGTCACCCAGGCTGGAATGCAGTGGCATGATCTCGGCTCACTGCAACCACTGCCTCCTGAGTTCAAGCAATTCTCCTGCCTCAGCCTCCCAAGTAGCTGGAATTACAGGCACCCGCCACCACACTTAGGTAATTTTTGTATTCTTAGTAGAGATGGGGTTCTACCATGTTGGCCAGGCTGGTCTTGAACTCTTGACCTCGTGATCCACCCACCTCGGCCTCCCAAAGTGCTGGGATTACAGGCGTGAGCCACTGTGCCCAGGCTGTCCTCATATATATATATATATATTGTTTTTTGAGACGGAGTTTCGCTCTTGTTACCCAGGCTGGAGTGTGCAATGGTGCGATCTCGACTCACCGCAACCTCCTCCTCCTGGGTTCAGGCAATTCTCCTGCCTCAGCCTCCTGAGTAGCTGGGATTACAGGCACGCGCCACCATGCCCAGCTAATTTTTTGTATTTTTAGTAGAGACGGGGTTTCACCATGTTGACCAGGATGGTCTTGAACTCTTGACCTCGTGATCCACCTACCTCGGCCTCCCAAAGTGCTGGGATTACAGGCTTGAGCCACCGCGCCCGGCTGTCCTCATATTTTTAAAGTGAACAGTCATACCTACTTCCTACTCTCAACCCCCTTAGAAAGTATAAGGAATTATTTCATCCTGGACCCTGCCCAGTGAGTGGGAACAAACTCAGTAATTACATAATTACAGTAGGTCACATGTGTCAGGTGCTTAATATTTGTCTAACATTGTGCCAACAGCTTTAGAAATACTCAGTCCCCACAATCCTAGTGGATAAGACCTGCTTTTGACAGGTAAGGAAACTGAGGCTCAGAGAGGTGAAGTGACTTGTTGAAGGTCACAGAGCAAGGGAGTGGTGGAGCTGGGATTTGCAGTCTTCAAATCAGTGCTCTTATTACCACGGGCCACAGAGGTAGACAACTCAGTGAGGCGACTGAGTTGGACATTGGCCCAGTGCCCACAGTCCTTGGAGTCTAAGGCAAAGCTGGGATCAGAACCCAGAGGTGCCTGGGACGAGGCTTTAGGAGAGAGTCTGGTGCGGGGCTAGGCAGGGTAGAGGGAGCTCCTCAATGCAAGATACCCCAACCCTGTGGCTGGAGACCCTGGCTGGTGGAGGAAGGCTGGCAGGATCCTGAGCCACTCTTGTTCTCCCACCCCATGCACTCCCTGCAGTATATCCTCCAAAGCCCATCACCTTGACGGACGAGTGGAAGGCCCAGCAGCTGCAGCGCATGCTGGACTTGAAGGTCAATCCTGTGCACGGCCTGGCCTCCCACTGGGACTATGAGAAGAAGGAGTGGAAGAAGTGACTTGCATCCCCAGCTGTCTCCCAGTGGCTCCACCCTGGCTGGGAGCCTCTGGTGGCCCCTCCTCTCCCCTCCCTTGCCCTTAACCCAATAAAGCTGGTTTGTTCTCTTCTGCCTCTAGCCTCCACTTCAGACTTTACCTGGCACCTAAAATTAAGCATTGTAATAGGTGAGGGGCAAGAAGGGCTTAGAACTCAGATAGTCAGGGAGGGCTTCCGGGAGGAGTCAGGGGGGGTGGGGCTAGGGCCAAAGCTTAGGTGGGATTAGGAAAGGCAAGAAGAAGGGAAGGCATTGGGGCAGAGGAAGTGGCTTAATCAAAGGTGAGGATACCCCTTTATTCAGCTAATTAACAAATACTTATTGGGTGCCTACTGTGTGCCAGGTTCTAATCCAGGCCCTGGGGATGCAGCAGTAAACAAGGTAGGCAAAGACCTTGACCTCATGGAAGAGACATTCTTCTATGCAGGGGGATCGAAAAATGAAGAAATAAGAGCAGTAAGTTGTTTGTTACATGGTAATAAGTGCCACGAAGAAACAAAACGAAGCAGCATGAGGGGACAGGCTAGAGGGGATTGGGGGGTGGCAGGTGAAGGCCTCTGGGGGGGGGTGGCACTTCGTTTGCTCGTCTTGTGCCTTGGCCTCTCAAAGTGCTGGGTGCCCAGGCTGGTCTGGAGCTCCTGGCCTCAAGTGATCCTCCTGCCTCAGCCTCTCAAAGTGCTGAGGGATTTTATTCTAAGTGTGATGGGAACCTGGTCCATTTGGGTTCTTCTTCTTCTTTTTTTTTTTTTTTGAGACGGCGTTTCGCTCTTGTTGCCCAGGCTGGAGTGCAACGGTGTGCTCTCAGCTCATAGCAACCTCTGCTTCTTGGGTTAAAGCGATTCTCCTACCTCAACCTCCTGAGTAGCTGGGATTACAGGGATGCGCTGCCAAGCCTGGTTAATTTTTTGTATTTTTAGTACAGACAGGGTTTCTCCATGTTGGTCAGGCTGGTCTCAAACTTCTCAGGTAATCCACCCTCCTTGGCCTCCCAAAGTACTGGGATTACAGGTATGAGCCGCTGCACCCGGCTGTCCATTTGGGTTCTTTGAGAAGCAAATGCTAAGAAGGAATTAACCATGTGAAGAGATTTTTTGCAGGTAATGCCTGTGAGAGATAAAAGAGAGAGGAAGCAGCCGAAGCGGGTGGATCATGAGGTCAAGAGATTGAGACCATCCTGGTCAACATGGTGAAACCCCGTCTCTACTAAAAATACAAAAATTAGCTGGACATGGTGGCGCGTGCCTGTAATCCCAGCTACTCAGGAGGCTGAGGCAGGAGAATTGCCTGAACCCAGGAGGCGGAGGTTACGGTGAGCCAAGATCGTGCCATTGCACTCCAGCTTGGGTAACAAGAGTGAAACTCCGTCTCAAAAAAAAAAAAAAAAAAAAAAGAGAGAGGAAGCAGGAGTAGGCTGGGAGAATCCTCAGACTGCGGCGCAGGTCTGACACCTGCAGACAAAGAGAAGGGAAGAAAGAACTGCACAGGAACGGACTCAGACTTCACGGCCTCCGGATCATTGAGTCCCATCAGGAGACAGAAACCACAAAGCAATTTGAACAGGGGTTGTTTAATATTAAAAAATAGCCGGGCATGGTGGCTCACGCCTGTAATCCCAGCACTTTGGGAGGCTGAGGCGGGCGGATCACGAGGTCAAGAGATCGAGACCATCCTGGTCAACATGGTGAAACCCCGTCTCTACTAAAAATACAAAAAATTAGCTGGGCATGGTGGCGCGTGCCTGTAATCCCAGCTACTCAGGAGGCTGAGGCAGGAGAATTGCCTGAATCCAGGAGGCGGAGGTTGCGGTGAGCCGAGATCGCGCCATTGCACTCCAGCCTGGGTAACAAGAGCGAAACTCCGTCTCAAAAAAAAAAAAAAAAAAAAAAAAAAAAAAAAAAAAAAAAAAAAAAAATTATTAATCTGACACAGGAGAGTCACTATAAAGATGCAAAGGCCGGATCATATCTGTAATCCCAGCACTTTGGGAGGCTGAGGTGGGCAGATCACCTGAGGTCAGGAGTACAAGACCAGCATGGCCAACATGGAAACCCAGTCTCTACTAAAAACAGAAAAATTAGCCAGGCTTGGTGGCACACCTCTGTAACCCCAGCTACTAGGGAGGCTGAGGCAGAAGACTCGCTTGAACCCAGGAGGTGGTGGCTTCAGTGAGCCAAGATCTCGCCACTGCACTACAGTCTGAGAAACAGAGCAAGACCTTGTCTCAAAAAAATTAAAACAAAAATAAAGATGCAAAGAGACCTTTAAAAGGTATCCAAGGAGAGTCCCCAAGGAAAGATACACTTAGAAGGGGGTGCCCTCCCCAAGTGGGGTTCAGACCTCCATGGAGACGGTGTGGTTGGTTGCAGCCCACTGGATGGCAAGAAGTCAGGTGGGTTGCCTATAGCCAGAGTTGGTCCATAGTCACTGGGAAAGCAGGAACAACCCTCAGACGGCCAAGGGAGCTGAGACTTGCAGGCAGGTGGAACTGGGGCACATTTACAGATGTGAGGCCTAAAGCTTGAGGCATCTGCATCAGGAGGATTGCCGGAAGATGTCCCCAGGCCTGAGGGCTGCAGGGTTGGTCTAGGCTATGCACACTGGGCTCATGGCTAAGCAACCACAACACAGGAGCAAGAACAGCATGTGCGTGTGCGTGTGCACGGACCTACACATACACACAGAAACCTCCTTTCCTCCTGAAAGTATCTTCCAGCACTGACTCCTGTCAAAGCTCAGCATCTCACTGCAGAGGAGTACAGTTCCTCGCCAGTGTGCAGAGCAGAATGAATCTGGAGCTGAGCGGTACTACACTGATAACTGGCCCGGCATCTTTCAGAAAGCCTTCGCTAGGCCAGTGGGAAGTCCCAGAGCAGGTTAATGCCCACTAGAGGAGTCCTGTATCGGGCACCATTAACGCATCCCTAGTGTATTAGTCAGGGTTCTCTAGTGGGGCAGGACTAATAGGATAGCAGTATATATGAAAGGGAGTGTATTAAGGAGAATCGACTCACAGGATCACAAGGTGAAGTCTCGCAATAGGCCGTCTGCAAGCTGAGGGGCTAGAAACCGGTCTGAGTCCCAAAACCTCAAAAGTAGGGAAGATGGTAGTGCAGCCTTTAGTCTGCGGTTGAAGGCCCGAGAGGCCCTGGCAAATCACTGGTGTAAGTCCAAGAGTCCAGAAGCTGAAGAACTTAAGAGTCTGATGTTCGAGAGCAGGGAGCATCCAGGACAGGAGAAAGGTGGAGGCCAGAAGACTTAGCCAGTCTAGTCCTTCCACCTTCTTCTGTCTGATTCCTCCCTCCTTACCTCTTCTCTTTCTCTCTCTCTCTCTCTCTCTCCCTCTTTTTCACTCCGTCTCCCAGGCTGGAGTGCAGTGGCACAGTCTTGGGTCACTGCACCCTCTGACCCCCCAGCTTCAAGTATTTCTCCTGTCTCAGCCTTCTGAGTAGCTGGGATTACAGGCATGGGCCACCATGTCTGGCTAATTTTCGTGTATTTATTTAGTAGAGACGGGGTTTCTCCATATTAGCCAGGCTGGTCTCAAACTCCTGACTTTAGGTGATCTGCCCACATCAGCCTCCTGAAGTGCTGGGATTACAGACATAAACCACCGCACCCGGCTCCTCTGCCTGCCTTTAACCTAGCTGCGCTGGCAGCTGATTAGATGGTGCCCATCCAGATTGAGGGTGGGTCTCCCAGTCCACTGACTCAAACATTAATCTCCTTTGGCAACACCCTTGCAGACACACCCAGTAACAATACTTTACATCCTTCCATCCAATCAAGTTGACAATATTAAACATCACACCTAGTAACCCCATTGTGTTCATGCTGAGTGGCCTCAGCATGAACACTGCAGCAGGTCTGAAAGCGTGGAAGCTGGAGGTGGTCACACAACTACCCCCTTCATAACAGATTCTCTTGAACAGGCTGAGCAGCACATCTCCATCGATACCCTAGATGCCAAGGGAAGAATTTAGCAGAGCAGTTTCAACAATAGTCATTCACTCAACAAATATTTATTGTGCATTCTAACTTAATCACTTCTTTTAAAAGGTCTTGTCAGCTGGGTGCGGTGGCTTACGCCAGTAATCCCAGCACTTTGGGAGGCTGAGGTGGGCAGATCAGCTGAGATCAGGAGTTCGAGATCAGCCTGAACAATATGGAGAAACCCCGTCTCTAGTAAAAATACAAAAATTAGCCTGGCGTGGTTGTGTGCGTCTGTAATCCCAGCTACTTGGGAGGCTGAGGCAGGAGAATCACTTGAACTCTGGAGGCAGAGGGTGCGGTGAGCCGAGATCATGCCATTGCACTCCAGCCTAGGCAAGAAGAGCAAAACTTCATCTCAAAATAAATAAATAAATAAATAAATAAACAAACAAACAAATAAATAAATAAAATAATAAAAGGTCTTGTCTCCAAATGCAGTCCCATTCTGAGGTGCTGGGGGTTAGAACATCCTTGCATGAATTTGGGGAGACACAATTCAGACTAGGTGTCCCCAGACTTTTTACACAGGGGGCCAGTTCACTGTCCCTCAGACCATTGGAGGGCTGCCATATACTGTGCTCCTCTCACTGACCACCAAAGAAAGAGGTGCCCCTTCCTGAAGTGCAGCGGGGGGCCGGATAAATGGCCTCAGGGGGCTGCATGCGGCCCGCGGGCCGTAGTCTGGGGGTGCCTGATTCAGACCATAATAGTTGGACTTAGGGCTGGGCACGGTGGTTCACACCTGTAATCCTAGCACTTTGGGAGGCCAAGGAGGGCAGATTACTTGAGGTCAGGTGTTCGAGACTAGCCCAGCCAATGTGGAGAAACTCCATCTCTACTAAAAATACAAAAATTAGGGCCAGGCACGGTGGCTCAAGCCTGTAATCCCAGCACTTTGGGAGGCCGAGGCAGGTGGATCACGAGGTCAAGAGATCGAGACCATCCTGGTCAACATGGTGAAACCCCGTCTCTACTAAAAATACAAAAAATTAGCTGGGCATGGTGGCGCGTGCCTGTAATCCCAGCTACTCAGGAGGTTGAGGCAGGAGAATTGCCTGAACCCAGGAGGCGGAGGTTGCGGTGAG